GGAAAACACGGTAATGCTGATGCCCTGTCTCGTCGGCCATGCAAAGTAGAATGCAAGCACTGCTCAAAGGCTGAGAATAAAGAGAATATCGTTGATGTCCGACTATTGCAATTTGAGTCGGGTGAAGATTGGTCGACGGAACAACGAAGAGATCCCATTCTGGGCAAAGTAATTTCGGCCATAGAAACGGGCAAACGACCTAGTCGCAAAGAAATTACCTCCGAAAGCCCTCTTTTAAAATCCTATTGGGCCCAGTGGGACAGTCTACTTATAATAGATGGTTGCCTATATCGCAAATGGGAAAGTGAGGACGGTAAATCTCACCGGAACTTGATCGTCGTCCCAGACTCCAAAATAAGAGATGTCTTGTCGGAGTTTCACGATGGGCCAAGTGGAGGACATCTTGTCATAGCAAAAAACCGCTGAAAAGGTAAAGCAGAGATTCTACTGGGTCGGCTGTCAAAAATCCATTGCCGACTGGATCGCCAATTGTGAAAGGTGCATAAGAGCTAAAGGTCCAACACGGAAGAGTCGAGGCTACATGCAGCAGTATAATTCAGGAGCCCCTTTTGAAAGAATCGCAATGGATGTAGCTGGACCGTTCCTAACAAGCGACTCTGGGAACCGGTATGTCTTAGTGGTCATGGATTACTTCAGTAAATGGCCAGAGGTTTATGCTATCCCAAATCAAGAAGCCAGGACAATTGTGGATGTGTTCAGCAGAAATTGGATTTGTCGCTATGGTGTTCCATCTGAGGTCCATTCCGATCAAGGGAGGAATTTTGAATCAGCGATCTTCAAGGAAATGTGTGACTCCTACGGAATCAAGAAAACCAGAACGACGCCCCTACATCCACAATCAGATGGCATGGTGGAAAGATTCAATCGCACCCTGGAAGAACATCTACGGAAAGTGGTGGACAGTGGCCAACGAGACTGGGATGAGCATATTCCCAAGTTTTTACTGGCTTATAGATCGGCCATTCATGATTCCACATCCCGGACCCCAGCCAAAGTTCTGTTCGGAAATGAATTAAAGCTACCTGGCGATTTGATATTCGGTGCTACCCCAAACGACGATGTGAACCAAGATGAAGACAGTCAAAACTCTTTTAGTAAAGTCCACGATGCAGTCCGACATCGAATAAAAATGGTTAGCAACCGCATGAAGGCAAGGTACGATCGAGCGGCAAATACCGATGGGTTTCAAGAAGGGCAACTGGTACTATTGTTCAACCCACAACGAAAGAAAGGACTATGCCCCAAATTACAAACGCACTGGGAAGGACCCTACAAGATTGTCACGAAAATAAATGATGTCGTTTATCGCATCCAGAGGAGCGACAGTCCCAGGTCGAAGATGAAAGTTGTACATTTGGAGCGGCTGACCCCCTACGGAACGGGAACTGTGCCTATTCGGGACGAACAGGCTTAAGCGGGGGGCAATGTTACGACTATAACTTTAGATTTAAGTTAATTTAGATGAATTCCGTTAATTTAAGAATTTGAATTGTAACGTAAATTTCTACTACGCAGTTTATTTGAATAACTTCACAACAACAACTACTGTATAGATTTTTCTACATCCTTCCATTTCCTCTTTCATTTTCTATTTTGTTGCTGACGTACAATTCTTGTTAAACGTCATCATTGATGATCGCTTAATTCCTCTTTCTTTGTTACCCCCTCGCCTGTGTATGTGTTGTTGTTATTGTTCACTCAATGTAAGTTTGTATGTGTTCGTTGCATTGGTAGATTGTTCGTAATCTAGGCGTTACCAGATCGTCTAGAAACTTCTGTAGCGACAGGCGAGGCTCATATAAATAGGGGAAATGGAAAGGCAGTTAGTCAGTTGTGAATCAGATCGCGAATTGAAACCGTCGAGTAAAGTAAAGTGCAAAGTAAAGTTGTGTGAATAAAATCATTGTAATAATCGTAATCCGAAAGAACCCGCGTTTTATTTGGTACGAGCTGTATTGGGAAATAAAACAACGTCTACACGGGATTAAGTAAAATCCAAAAACGTAACAGTATAAATACTAAAAAATCGCATAAAAAGATACCAATAATGATGTTCATATAGATTTTGTAGTATTTTGTGACATTTTTTTATCTTTTCATATTTTTTATCGCATGCGATTTTTTTAAATTGACTTATAATATTGAAGTATTTGTTTTGTAATATTTTTTCACTTTACAACACAGGTTGGGGTTATTATTTATATACAGATTGCAATTATCGTTGGATCCTCACGAAATTTTTCACAAAGGTAGGGTTAGGCTCAGAAGGGCTTAGCCTATTGTTTTAAAAGATGTCCGCAATATATTTAGGGGTTGAAATTGACCAGCAACTCAAAATGTTCCTGATTTTGCAGCCGTTATAAAGGTCCCAAATATAAACCTAATGACACGAAATCTCGCATGAAGTTAGAGCTTAGGACAGCGGGTAGAATGGACCAATACTTTTGTGTAAAAAAATACCAACATTACTTACAGCGAACTTCTGGCTTTTTTATGCTGATTTCGTTGACGAATATAGCTAAATATCGTAGACAAGCAAATCATATAGATGAGTCTAAATTTGGAGACACAGAGGGGCCTCTTGCTTTTGGAGATGATCGCAAAATATTTAGGGGTTTAAATGAACCAACAACAGAAAAAAATTTCTTGATCACACAATTGAAGCCAATCGACACGCATGAGAAGATAGGAAGGCACAGGGAAGAATTCTGGCATTTTGAATGACCATTAGAATATATTTAGCCGTAAAATGGACCACAAAAACTAACAGCACGACGGAGTGCATAAATATTGGGAAAATGTCCCTGGTCAAAATTCTAAGGGTAATATCTGGACAGTGCTCCGTGACATAATTTCAAAAGCGAAATCTTCCAAAATGGATTTGGACATGAGGGGGCTTCTAACATATTGTAGTGTTGTAGGGTATCACATGGTCGGCCCCGCACGACTATAGCCTAATGTATGCATGTATAAAATAACGATTCATCTCAACAAATAACGATTCATCTCAACAAAAAAAATATAAAATTCAGTTAGTAATAAAAAAATTAAATTACGTAAAAATAAACAATGAAAAATAAATTTGTACCCAATATGGAAAAAATCCGCCCAAAATCCGCCCAAACCACAAATTTTATCTTTTTTCCGCCCAAATTTGGACGGAAACGCCCAAAACGGCAACACTGGTCCGCTTACCTTCCCTTGCAAGAGATGCCAACCTCTTTGATGGTCCAAGGACCTAGCCAAACCTAGGAATGTAAGTAGGCGCTTATATAAAAGGACCAACAAGACCAAACTGAGTACGGACTACTTTCAACAAGTACAACAGTGAGATCAAGAAGGCCAAAATATCATCATGGGTAAGCTTTACTAAGTCTATGGAGGATGTCAATGAAGCTTCCAGATTTCGTAAAGTTCTTTCAAAGAACTCTAAATCCATTGGATGAATAAAACGAAACGATAGAAGATGGACTGGTTTAGGGACTTTCAATTTGTTAACCAGCACTCACTGCGCAGATACGAGAAATGAACGATCGGCAGAGCGACATAATCAGCAATGTGTGGCAGGGGATGTGAGTCTGATTGATAGGATTGTAAGCACCCCCAAAATTCTGTGGGCGATCGGACGGAATTATTCCCGCCATGTTACACCATGTATCGACGGTAATAGTACCAACACTGGAAGTGACTTAAGGATTTTCTGCGTCTCACTTGTATTCCATCGCTGTAGAGTGAAGTTACAGTAATTTATATTCCCAAGGTCTAAAGACAACAGGCCTATAAGTCATTCGTCCTATCTATTGAAAACTCTGGAGAGACTAAAGGTTGGAATACATGAAGCGCTTATTTGGCTGGCTTAAGTCATCGACTGGCTTCTTCGTAAATAAACAAAGGAGCCTAGGGCCAAAATCGAACTAAGTCAACTTAAAACTCCTTTGTTCCTCTAGGAAGAAGCCAGCCAAATATGCGCTTTATGTATTCTCACCCTAATAGATATTGACATCAGATCTCTACTACCTTTGACTTCAATAAGCGCTGTTCAACATGCCTATATGAATCTGTTGAAACAGCGCAAATAGACTCAGTGAGTTTTGTGGAGAAGAACATGAATGACTCGTGTTTCACTTTAGTAGTCTGTCTCGACATAGAAGGGACCACACCGAGTGGAGTGGTTGTTTAAACAACCATGCATCCTTTAACGTAACCTTTTACAGCGTTACCTAAAATACGACGTACTAGGTCGACAGAAGTAAAAACGTTTTACATATTCTCACCTTTAAGCCCGTCAAAACGCCTTTTATGTACTGTCAGCTTTACAGCGTTACCTAAAATTCGACTAGGCGTAGACCAATATTCAACGTCCCCACTATCATAAAAATGTTTTGTACGTCCGAATTAACCAAATACACCTGGGCCTCAATTATTGTTCCATGAAAATGTGAAATGGAAACTTTTATAAAGAAATGTCAAATGAAAAATTTTATAAAGCAAAAATTTTTCATTTCATATTTTCATAGAAGAAGAATTTAGTCCCAGGACAATATTTTTAAATCTACCAAATAATAACGTTGTGAAGCTTGATCAATTTTAAAATTCAATATTGTTATATTCTTTTACGAAAAGGCCAGCTGATGACTTAAGATAGTAAAACTGAGTAGATTTTTATATGTTTTCTTATACGATGCCAATAGGAGGTTGTTATGATATGCATATTTTGACGAATTTGAATAATTTTTCATTCAAAATGTTCAATTTTAAAATTGGTTTGACACTACCTGACTACCTGAATTCTTCTACTATGATGACAGATTATGTAACATATCAAGTAAAAGAATAAAGTGCGACCTAGCATAAATTCTTTTACCAGAAATGCTGCAGCAACTTATGTGGAAAAGCTACTAAATTAACTAATGTGACAATCGCAAAAAAATCTAGATAAACAAAAGGTTGAATATAGTTCCCACGGTTTCTGCCAGAGAATAATTTTGTTGAACTAGTTTGTTTTGAAAATTTATTTACATTCTGAAGCAAAACAAGAACAGAATAATTTCCCAAAATATCTAAAATGTCCATGAATATGGATATTTGCATCGTATGTTTGGAATCCAATGGAGATATATTATCACGCCTGACTGCTGGATCAATGGAATGGAATAAATACAATGTGCAACAGATTATTGAAAAGCATTTATGGTGGTGGCACATTAAGGCCATCAATGAAGAATTGAATCCAAAGTGGATATGTAATGAGTGCTGGTCGCGATTGTGGTCCTTTCACACATTTTTTCTGCGAGTTCAAAAGTCACATAATTTGTTTAATTCCTTAGAAAATTGTGTAGCTAAAGAAATATTACCAAGTTCCACAACCGACAACAATTCAGACACAAAAGAAGACATTTTGATGGCAGATGCATCTCTTAATGAGGATTTAATACCCTTGGCAAAAAGGAAACGAGGTAGACCCCGTATACAAAAAGATGTCATAGACTGTGTGACAATTGAGAAAGAGGAAACTGAGGCGCTTGAAACAGAACAAACAATTGAAACATCCAATGGATTATCAACAAATATACACGATAGCGATGATGGCGGAGATCAAAGTGATAATCAGGAATATGAAAACGATTACCAAAATATTGAGGCCAGTGATAATAAAACTTCTTCGGATGAAGAAGAAATAAATGAAACTATTCCCCTAAAACAGAGAAAAAGTAGGGAATGCAAAACTGTAACGAAAAAGAAGAAACCTGCCGATGGTTCTGCTGTTCAATTAACAAGAAAATATGATGAATTTATAGCTCAAAATCACGAGTTATTTTGTAGTTTATGCCACATACCGCTGGAAGACTTCAATATTTTAATTATTCACTTTCGTGATGAGCACAATACCAAGCCATATGCAATGTGCTGTGATAAGAAATTTTACAAGCGTGCCGTGTTTGTGGATCATTTGCATGTCCACAAGGATCCCGAATACTTTAAATGTGAACATTGTGGCAAGGTTTTCGCCAATAGACGTTGCTTGAAAAATCATTTGGAGTGGCATGATGAATCTCGAAAGCCTCGATTTAATTGCAGCGAATGTGGCAAAGATTTCTTTAGAAGAGGTGAAGTTACTATTTTATTTTTCAAATTCCGATATCAAATCAATACTCCTTTATTTTTAGGTAGTCTAGAAAAACATCGTCTGCTCCATGTGCCGGAAGAGCAACGACAATTCCAATGCAACGAATGTGAGAAGAAATTTGCTTCGGAGAGTTTGAGAACTCAACACATCAAAGTAACTCATTTGTATGTTAAACTAATCTGTGATATTTGCGGCAAAGCTTTCCGCGAAAGGCATGCTTTCCAAAGACATTTAACTGAACATACGGGTGGGCCATCGCCCAACATAGAATGTGACATATGTGGCATGAAATTGACCAGCATTTATGGTCTCAATCGCCACAAAAGATTACGCCACACCGAAGAAAATATGCAGGAACAAGTTTGTCCGTATTGTTCCAAAGTGTCACCGAACATTGCAGCACATAAGAGTCACATTCAATATTCCCATACTATGCAGCGCAGACATGCCTGTCATTTGTGTGACAAGGCTTTTAGACGACCGAAAGAGTTAAAAGAACATTTGAGCACCCATACAGGTGAAGCTCTGTATACCTGCCCCCATTGTCCGCGAACATTTATATCCAATGCCAATATGCATAAACATCGAAAGAATGAACATCCCAAAGAGTGGCAAGAGGCGCGTATGAAGCGTTTAAGTTCTATGAAAATTCCAATTAGTGCAATACAAACAAGTACCCCTGTCGAAGGAAATTGAATAAAACGTTTAAGTCGAAATGTAGATGTAAGTGCAATAGATCTAGTTTAGGACGTAAATATAAACAGCGAAATTGTAAAAATGTAGATATAATTGTTTAGAGTGTATAAAATAAATAGTTTAATCTTTATAACATAATATTCAAAACTTTTTTTTTTTGTAACACAGGAAGAGTTTAAAACATACACAACATATATATTATTGATTATAATCTTGGTGTTATCCACCCGTATTTCTATGATGGGCTCTGTTTTCGATTCCATAAAGAAAAAATCGGTTATCGTAGTAAAAAGTTTTACATTCTGGAACAGATCAATGGTCTCATACAAAAAGGATTTTGACAGCAGATAGGCTTACTGGCCGATCCTTAATCCATTTTAAAATATCTTCTAGGGGAGAATATCCCATACAAAAAACATGGGAACTGATGAGCATTGGTGGCTCTTTCCGAAACCTAGGTATTCCCTGCCTTACCCCCTTGTAAACATTACCATCGTTCTCCACTAATAAACAAATGTTGTTTTATAAAAACAACAATAATGGGATTAAGCCTGACCATTTTGCAAAAACAAAATACTATGGTATCCCGAACAAACATGCCAACACTATTCTAATAAATGTTATATATTTTTATCTACATTTTGGCCTTAACATAAATAAGAAAGATAAATTTGCAGGGAATTGACAGCAGCCAGCTCATACTGTAAAAAATAAAATAATCGATAATATAATAATCGATAATTACAGCTATTCGGTTGTTTTTCCCTACATAAACTTGATTTTTATATCCCTAATCTTCCCTCGTGCGTGTTTTACTTCTTTTGCAAACGAACGGCTTTGCAATTGTTCTGGTTTTTTATTTTTGTAGAGTATTCGAAAGGAATTTTATTTCAAAATAAAATTTAGTATATTTTTATGTTACAATTTTTGTAAGGGATCCATTATCTTTCAAAACTCTACAAAATCCAGGAATCATGTCAGCCGTTGTTGAAGAAACTAAAGTTGCAGGCAATGCTGAGGCCACAAACCAAGAGGCCCCCAGCAACAATCAAGAAGCCTCCACACAAGAAGAACCCAAAAAACAAAAGAAACCAAAACCCAATAATAAGAAATTGAGACAAGGTAAGACGATACGATTTGTTTTATGTAATTAATTACCGGTGAGTTGCTAATGTATTTTTGTGGTTAATTTTTGATTTGCAGAAGCTGCCGCGAAGAAAGCAGCTGATGGTGGTGGCGAAGCTGGTGCCGACAACGAAAAAGAAGAAAAGGCCGCTGGTGAAGTTAACGGCGAATCTGCAACGGCTGGCGGTGATGGCGAAAAGAAGTCTGCCAACAAAAAGAAGAATAAAAACAAAAATAAGGCCGGTCAAAAGAAGGGCGGACAAACCGAACCACCCACCGTGCCAATCGCTGAACTATTTCCCGATGGCAACTTCCCTGAAGGTGAAATAATGAAACACCCCGTACCTAAGGATATGCCAGACGATCGTACCGCCATTGATCGTTTCACTTCGGAAGAGAAACGTGCCTTGGATCGTATGCACAATGATATCTATCAAGAAGTGCGTCAGGCGGCCGAGGCTCATCGTCAAACACGTCAATATATGCAACGTTATATTAAACCCGGCATGAGCATGATTCAAATTTGTGAAGAACTCGAGAATACTGCTCGTCGTTTAATTGGCGAAAATGGTCTTGAGGCTGGCTTGGCCTTCCCCACCGGTTGTTCGTTGAATCACTGTGCTGCCCATTATACACCGAATGCTGGCGACACCACTGTCTTGCAATATGATGATGTGTGTAAAATTGATTTCGGCACTCACATTAAGGGTCGCATTATTGATTGTGCTTTTACATTGACTTTCAATGATAAATATGACAAATTATTGGAAGCAGTGCGTGAGGCTACCAATACTGGCATTAAGGAAGCTGGTATTGATGTACGTCTATGTGACATTGGCGCTGCCATTCAAGAAGTCATGGAATCTTATGAAGTTGAGTTGGACGGTAAAACTTATCAAGTTAAGGCGATACGCAATTTGAATGGTCATTCGATTAGTCCATATCGTAAGTATAATTTTTTTTATTGATTTCAAATGAGATTTATTATTAGGCTGCATTAACTATTGAGCTAAGTTGTGGTTTGTATTATCTGAATCATGTATATGACGTCACGTAATGTTCGTAATAATTTTTCCAAACCCATTGAGTTTTTCGATCACATGATAGAGCACTTGTTTATCACAGCCTTCGTCTTGTAAGCCAGAGACTTGCAATTACTAGACTACAGCTAACCGCCAACATAAATAAAATTCACGGCGATAGGCCTATTGTCCTATGGGAATTTAGGTTGTCTGCGTAGACTACAGTTACTGTACCCTGTTGATCCATCTGTAAAGCTGGATTTTTTTTCTGCAGCCACTCTGGAATGATATTGGTACCTTTTCTATTCCAAAAACCAAATTTTAAAATACTTAGATATTAATTTTGTAGTTCTCTTACAATTAGAAAGGAGCATAACAAATCGCAACTCGTTTCGTTATTCAATATTTTTGCGGTCAAAAGGTTCGGTTCCATATAGGTGAGGACTGGTAACAGAATATAATGTTAACACTCAAACCTTTTTTATGCAGACAAGAGTTGTGCTTGTTGTGAATGTTGTAATCATGCTAAAGTCGAAACGAATAAAGATAGGAAGGCACAATTTTGCGCAGATGAGTCTCTTGTCAGGTCAAGTTCGAAGATGGGCTATATCGGTTCACGATATCGTATAGATCCCATACAACGGTACCCCGATAATCGGTATTTTGATCATTTTAGCCAAAATTTCCGGTGGAATTGTCTTAAAACCCATACAAGGAGTTCTTTCTGAGTACTTTACCCTCAGGAAGAGTATTGTTTGTATAGGTCCACGATATCGTATAGCCCCCATACAACGGTACCCCCCGATATTAGAAATTTGGCAATTTTAGGGACGTTATTCACCGGAGTTGTTTCAAACCGCGTACCAGGAATTCGTAATGGGTACTATAGCCTATGACAAAAAATGGCTTATTCAGGCCCACGTCTTCGTATAGCCTCCATGTAATGATACATCCCAATATTCGGTATTTTGATAATTTTAGCGACATCATTTACCGGAGTTGTTTGAAATTTCGTATTTAGAGTTCGTAATGGGAACTACATTCTATGAGAGGAAATTGTCTATGCACGTCCAGGCCTTCGTACAAGCCCCATATAACGGTACTTCCAGATATTCGGTATTTTGATGCTACATTATTCAACGATTTTTTTAAGTTTCCCATTTGAATATTGTATTTGCTTATGATAAAAGTTACCTATTCAGGTCCATGTCGTAGTATAGACCCTAATATAACGGCTACATTCGGTATTTTTAAGATTTTAACAGAATTTTCAACTGATTTGATTGTTTTGGGAATTTCCAAATTCGTCCCAAATGGTGGAGGGTATTCAAAGTTTGGGCCGACCGAACTTACATCTTTTTTTCTTGTTAAAATTAAAATCATTCTGCCAAATGTTACAAAGAAATTAATGGATGTCACTGTTTTATTTTTTACCTTTCTACTGTGTGTTACAATCAATTTTCAATATTCTACCCTACTTTTCTAGGTATTCATGCTGGCAAAACTGTACCAATTGTCAAGGGTGGCGAATCAACTCGCATGGAAGAAAATGAATTCTATGCCATCGAGACATTCGGTTCCACCGGTCGTGGTCTCGTACATGATGATATGGACTGCTCTCATTACATGAAGAACTTCGATGCTCCATTTGTGCCATTGCGTTTGCAATCATCCAAACAACTGTTGGGAACAATTAATAAACATTTCGGCACATTGGCTTTCTGTAAACGTTGGTTAGATCGCGCTGGCGCCACCAAATATCAAATGGCTTTGAAAGATCTGTGCGACAAGGGTGTTGTCGAGGCCTATCCACCATTGTGCGATATTAAAGGATGCTATACTGCCCAATATGAGCATACAATTATGTTGCGACCAACATGCAAAGAAGTGGTTTCACGCGGTGATGATTACTAAGTTCGTTGGAAATGGTGTGTTTAAACAAAAGCAAAGCGAATCGTTTGTTGTATATTGTTCCACTTTGAAATGTAGAACAAATATTTTATCAATATTTGAGAGTTGTAAAACCGTTTATTATCTTTGAGGAATGAGTGAATGAAAGCATATATACATACATATAACTATCAAACAACACATTTAATTATGAATACCCATATTTTTATTTTTACCAAAAAATATATGAAAACAAATCCCCTGAACGTTTATTAAATTTTGTTGTTATCAAATAACAATCGTAAAATTTCCGTTTTTTAGGTTTTCGTTTAATTAGTTTTGATAAGAAGTCATGGAGAATCTTTAATCATTGCTAATAAAGGAAATAACATTTAATATGCGAAAAGGAAAACGAAAAAGCAAGGCGTTTCACTTTTTGGTCCGATTTATGGTTTGTGATGCAATTAAATTGGATTTCTCATATCTTTATTGAAAGTAATAGAAAATTTATATATGTTTTTCATTTCTATGAATCAAAAATCATAATTTATGTTAAAAATTATTTGTATAATTTATTATTTATCTTTTTAAATAACCCTTAAAATACCATTATGAAAAATAATTGAAAATTATTTTGCAATTGTAATTTGTATATTACATTAGTATAATATCTGTACTATAATTAAGCGGAAGGCCAGCACTTAGTGAATTGCTAGGTTGCATGCTGCGTGCCACATCTTCAGTGGTCGCCTGAACATCTTGTGTAAATACTTCTTTTGCCACCAATGTTTGAGATTCAACATAATCCAGACCGGGCTCCGGTTTGGCACCCAACAAAAGCGTGCCTTTTTGTACCCCCATATATTGGGTGGCCTTGGCATTCAAGGGAAGCAGACCACAAGTTTCGGCATGTACCTTACGATGGGCTTGCAAATTGGAAACACATGTAAAACGTTTACCACAGCCATTGCACAAGAAACGTTTGATGCCCGTATGAACTGCCATGTGTGTTAGCAGACTTTCGCGATAAGGATAGGCTTTGGGACAAAGCTGTAATAGCAAGATTTAAAATTAGAATTCGAAAAATTGTCACGTTTTTAAGCTGACTTACATGACACTTGAAACGTTTTTCCTCTGAATGGGAATATTTGATGTGAGTTTTGTATTGAGCCTTGATCTTGAAACTTTTGCCACACTGATCGCATTGATAGGGACGGTCATCCTGATGCAGTAGCATGTGGGTCTTGAGGATACCAGCAGTTGTTAAACATTTACCACATACCTGACACTGGTAAATGGGAACCCGGCCACAGTCTGAGCGTACATGATCCATTAGCTGTGTCCTGCCCAAGAATTTCTTGCCACATTTGTCACACACCAAATTACGTTTAAATTGTACCTCTTTGGTGCCGTGTATACGCATTTTATGCGATTTCAAAGCATCACATCCTGTCATGAATTTCTCACATATTTCACACCACAACAGATCTTTGTGTGCCTCGTGGGCATGAGCCTGGGCCTCTTCACGTGTGGCAAAATACAAGACACAATAACATGGGCATTTATGTATTAGATTACCATCTGGACCATGTTTGGCTATGTGATCTTTAAGACGTTTCTCCATCAGATATATCTTATCACAGATGTGGCATTTGTAAATATCTTCTGTGGGCAATTCTTCAATTTCATCCTTTAGCAACTCTTTGATTTCTTCATCGTTTTTGTTGTGATCATCTCGCAAATGCTTTTCAAATGGTTTTCGCATATAGTACAGCTTAATGCAATCCGGACATTTGTAAGTCTTATCACGTTTCTTTAAGAGGCGCATACGTTCCTTCAGCTGTTCAGCTGTTATTTTAGATTTTCGTTTTGGTTTGTCTGTACTGGTCGAATCTTTATCTGCTGTTGATTGCTGTGTGCTTTTAGCTTCCCTGGGTTTTCGCGTGCGTTTTTTCGTATCATTTCTTTTGGAAAAGAAAGGCTGACAATTGCGAGGAACCTTAATGCTGGATTGTGTCTTCAGCTGAGGATAACGATTTGTAATATCTTCCAACAATACATAACATTTTTGATCTACCGTATTTTCCGACATTGGAAGAAACTGAAAATAAAAATGAGTTCTGAGTAAAAAGAATTCGCATATTTGTATTTCAAGGAAGGTAAAATCTATATTTTACTGTTTAGATTGACTTCTTCGTTCGAGGCGGAGAAAACGTTGTGAAAGAAAAAATGAGTTAATGGTCTTTCTCTCCTTTTTTTCTTGCATTTCATTTCTCCGTCTGAGTTCCAATATTTCATATCCACCTGATAGAAGTTACTTTTTGTTTTCTTTAAGCTTTTCTTAATATATCTTTACATCCAGAATTCCGTATTCATACCTCTGATTTTATATCCAAGATGTCTTCCAATGGATAATCCTCATCGTGGCTGTCTTCATTTTTTACCAATACCACCTCAGTCTCTTCTAGAATATATTCTTCATCATCGTCATCTTTTTCAGATTGTTTAGCTGAGGCTATAGATAATGACTGATTAGATACGTTAATCCCACCTAAGAAACAAACAAATTTAGTTGAAAAAAAAAAAACACAATTGTATACCAAACTATACTTACTTTCGTTTAGCAAACATGCCAGAATCTTATCCTTTTCATTAAAAATATTCGCATCTTCAATTTCAGACTTCACAACATTTGTGTCGATAGGCAAGGAGGTGAACTCAAGATCATTAAGAGCTTCTATTTGTATGAGTGTTGTATCCTCTTTAGATTCTTCTTTGATTTTTACCGGTAATTGGAAATTTTTGTTTTCTTGTGTATCATAATCGGATTCTTCATCATCATCATTCTCAAAATCGGGTACATAATCATCTTCACTGTCATCCGACCATGCTGTTGTGGTTCTGTTAATGGAGGGCTCAGCTTCCATAGGTATCAGAGGTTTTAAAATGGGATCTTCTACAGTAGTTTGCTCTCCTTCAGCGATATTCGTTGATGTTTTTAATTTGCATTGTCTTTCCGGTCGTTCACTCTTTATTAATTCTGTAAGTGGTTTTTCATCTTCATCTTCTTCGTCGTCCTCATCGCACTTATTTTTCCCAATCGATACAAATTCTTCCTCATCACTTTCCTCAAATTCGATAATGTCTTTTTTGGAAAGCATTTTCTTTGTTGTTGTCTTTTTGGTTGCCCCTTTCAAAGCACCACCTGTACGTTTGCGTGCTGTAGTCTTTTCTTTTGCCTTATCTGGGGATTCTTTTTTCAATGCCTGAGCCTTTTCCAAGTCTTCGGGTTTTATGATTTTGTTGACGTTTACAACTTTTATTTCCGAATTTGGATTTAAAACGGCTGGAACTGAAAGCAAACGAGGAAATAAGTTTATTTTTGAATTCCATAAAAATATGTTTTGCAGTATTTTAATTTAAAAATTGTGTAAATATATACAAGGTGTTTCTCGCCAAAAGTTTCAATCTCTGTAGGCAAAAATTTCGATTAGATTTGTAGGTGAGAGGAGAAATCAACAGATTTTCATAGTTTTTCTTCGAAAATCTTAGTCATTCCATTTTTTAATGGCCAGATTTGAATAAGACAACATAAAGACCCTATCCCCTTACTTCTTGAGGTGTGTTTTCGAATGCGGTTGCGTGGCGGATCATATTCTGGTCGACCACATGTATCTGGCCTATTTCTTCGGTGTTTAATTAGATTTGAATAACAGGAAAATCTCGAACTACAGCATTTACATTCAACCAAACGTATTCCAGTGTGTAATGAAGAATGTGTAACAATGCTCTCCCGATGGGAAAAACTCTTTCCACACACCTGGAAAATAAAACAAAAAACACATTTTAATTGAAATTGCTCCCACACTTAAAATCCAACATACATCACACTTATAAGGCTTCTCTCCCGTATGTGTCCGTTCATGTTCCACCAATCTGGCTTTTTGTTTGAAATTCCTGCCACAATAACTACAACAGAATTTCAATTCTCCCGAATGATTATCCAAATGGGCCTTTAAATTATATTTCGTCATAAATGCCATGGGACATTTATCACATTTAAAGGGTTTAATGGCACCACAATCTGTCTCGATGTGCCGCCGATATGGATCCAAGGTTTTATAAGCTGCTCCACATTTTTCACATTTATACAACTCCCGATCGACACCCTGGTGGACGTCACGTATATGGGCACGATAATCACTTTCATTTGTAAACGTTGTATCCTTACACAGGCGACAGGCAATGGTGGTGTGTTGAGTTTCACGATGTTTTTTCAATTCATCTTCCGAACAGAATCGTGCATCACAGAAGCGACACATAAAACCTCCGGGTGGCTCATGTTTTTTAACATGCTTCACATAGCCTTGAAGGGAGACCAAAGCCTTATTACATATTGGACAAAAGAGTTTTGGTACACCATCGGATGCTGATATTTTCACCAACATTTCCATTTGAGATGTATTCGATGTGGTAGCTGGAAAAAAAAAAATAAATATTTTAAAGGATTTAAAATATGAGTGTAGGGTGCTGCAATTTTTATATAGTATTTAACCCTTAACTACAGATGACCGGTATTTTTTACCGGTAAGCATTTACAATTTTTTAATTTCGGGGATAACTGAATATATTTTGCTTTAAAAAAAACTTGCGGGGTTTTATTAAAATAAATAGTTTTAATACTTTTTCAAGATCTTGATATACAAGAAATACAAATTTTTCAATTGTTTTACAGAAATGTTATGTATTTTATATAACCGGTAAAAATTACCGGTGGTCTGTACTAACGTTCGTATAATTTGACGTCTATAGTTAAGGGTTAATTGTAAAGATTTCATTTTGTTCGTGGATCAAGTTTTAAAATACAGTTCACCTAAATAAAGAAAGAAACAATTAAGATTTTTTCCTCTGGGGTATGTACAACACCGATCCATAGTTTTTCTATACTTTATAACTTTCCTAAGTAAGCAGCCTTTGACTTTTAAGTCAATATCTTCGGAACAACAAAGCTATAAAGGTTAGATCCATATTATTGGAGAAAATCTCAATTTCATGCTATTTATCACTATTATCTTTGGAACTACAAAACATATCAATACATGTGGTACCAATTTGGTAAGCTACGAGTGTAGGCTATAATATAGTATATAGATACCCCAATATGAATCAATTTTCTTTTTAGGTTTTTTCAAAAAGTTCTGGTACAAAAATACCAATTTCTTGAATTACTCCGGGACCGGTTCAAACAACTTCGTCATGTTGGATAGGTATTTCCTAAGCATTCAAATTATATCAAGTTTGTACGTATCGGTTTTGTAGCACCGGATAAAAAACGGATTATATATCCGAACTTTCGGGTCGAATAGCCGAGTGTCACACCCCCCCAAAATATTACTTTGCCGTAATCGGGCAAAAAATATCAATATGTGGTAAACATTTTCAGGTCAATCTGCCGTATTCGACCGCTACTCTATTTGGAGACTTTCCTTCACATAATAGTTCGTAATTTCATGACATTTTCCACATTAAAAGCACTTGTGAGTGTGGGCAAAGTTCCTTTCAAATGAAACCTAACAGACACGATGAATTTTCTATCTAAACAATCGACTAATCGATTAGTCAAAAGTCGACCTATCCATCCCTACTGTGTTTGTGTGTTGTTAGTGGACACCACCATGAAAAAAAAAAACTTTATAGCAAACAATGTAAAACATTAGAACAATTAACAATAAAATACCTTCTGATGATATCAACAAACACAAGAATAGCAAAGAATTTCTTACCCATTTTAAAATGGCTATTAACGTTAAGCAGACAGGCTGTTTCATTAACTTTCCTCTATGTTTTCATGCTATATCTTCTTCAATGTTCTTGTTTGTCCAAATGCCGCCGAAGCTTACGTCAATATTGTTAGCTTTTATTTCAACATTTTACATTTATTCTTCATTTTATCGTTCTTTATAAAGTGATTAAATTCAGTTTTTACCAAACACTTTTATACACAATAAAAAATTATTGTTCAATTTTCCCGTTTATTGTTCGAGACAAATATTTTTCACTTCGTCGCTGTGTAGCTACACCTTAAGAAATGTCACGACTATTACGATGGCAAATAATTCTCTATTAGTGAATGGAGTTGCCATATACGATTTGTGTGTGGGGACATATTTTGTGATATGTGGTAGTTTTATTTAATAAATGTGTGGTTTAGGGAAGTGTTTTCATGGTAGTAATTAGTATGAGGGTTTAAATTAAAGAAAAAAGAATATATTTGGAATACTTTTGCAGATATTAAAATTGTGAGGGGTTAGTTTGAGGAGTTTAATTATTAATGAGCAGTATGGATTTCGTCTAATATTTTCATTGCGTTTTATTTCTTTTTAAGCTGATTTCAAGTATAAAATAGGATTCTCGGAGATGTTGGCCTAGAATGTTTGGAAAATACCACATGATTATATAATAAGTAAGATGGAACTTACGCTCTAATATGAATTATATAGTTTGAATATAACTTATTAGTTATATATTCTTTAAATGATAAATATGTCCTAGGAAAGTTTGTTAAGAAAAAGTCGATCAAAATAAAATGTCTTGAGGTGTAAAGGGGAGAATACATAAAACGCTTTTCTGACTGGTTTAAGTTATGGGCTGGCTTCTTCGTAAAAGAAGAAAGGAGTTTTAGGTTTATTTAATTCGATTTTCGCCCTACGCTCCTTTGTTCGTTTCCAAAGAAGCCAGCCGATGTCTTAAGCCAGTCAGTAAAGCGGTTTATGTATACTCACCTTTACACCTCAAAACATTTTACTTTGACCGAGTTCTTGGTTGGCAGATTATAAATCTATGGGACCATAATTTCCAATATGTTAAAACATATTCACAGTTGTTGGTAGTGTTTATTTTTTTTAATAATATTTAAAATACTTCTGAAAACATTCAAATTCTAATAAAATTTAAATTCATATTTGCTTTGTTCCAGTTGCTGCAAGAATATGCTAGTTTTGTAATTTTTATTTCGATGCCTATTTTCTGTATTATTAAGCCTGACCAGACCAGTGTGTTTCAACAAGTCGATAAAAACGACCCAGAGTGGTCGATATAATGTAATTTGACGGGGGTTAGCAACTGCTTCACTCGGATACCATTGGTCCATTGTGTTCATCGTAGGAAGAATAAAGTTGTTGCTGCAAAGAGATATATCGAAACGAGAAGGAGAAGGAAGGATTTATAGAGAGAAGTATAGTTTGCAGGTTGATCTTCCTTGTAGATTATGATGGGATGAGATGAAAAACTTTTTGATGGAACTGACATGATAGCTTATTGGCGGCTTAGCATTCTCATCAATCTTTAGATCTATCGACTGGGAAACACCTCGAACTAATTCATCAGCCATTTCATTCCCCAATATGTTGCTATGTCCTGGAACCCAACAAAGCTTAATGAATTCACGTATTTCAAGGAGGACTTTCTTGCCACTTTGTTTCCAACGATATTCCATTTGCCTGGTACCTAAAAAAGGCGCATAAATGCTGTATTCTCCTATAAAATCTCCACAATAAGGATTATTATTGCCGATTAACGTTAACGTTAACTTTTCTGGTAAAAACTAGTAAGCAGCCTGTACGCAGAGAATATTATTTCAATTTTTCCAATTTTATTTTTCAAATTTTCTTCGTATTTGAAAATTTTACATTCTTGCAGTTCTGGAACACACCAATTATTGCTTGAAAATGTTAAACAATTTTATATCGGCCAAAGGCAAAGACATAGAAGTGTAAAGATAGGACAAGACAGAGTCAAAACATGACAACCCTGTGAAAATACCTCTGTTGTTACGATATCATAACTACATAGTCACCAATGTTAACTGATTTAAACCGCTAAAGCAATATGCAAATTTTTGGAAAGGTCTATGGAATAAAATTTCGAAACCAAAATTTTGGATTTTTCAAATTTTTATTGGTTATTCGTTTCTGTAACTGTGGTTTTTATATTAACACTAGCTGAACCCGGTGCGCTTCGCTACCCCTTTTGATTTTATATGCATTCAAAATTTTATTTACGAATATATGTTGGATAAAGAAAACAAATTTAAAAATTAAAAAAAAAAATATTGCACTAATTTAATGCGTTAATAAACAAAATCACTACAAAAGCAGTAACATGACATGCATACATTTGTCCTTTGGATTTATTTGTCCTTTGGATTTATTTATTTCATAGCAAATACCAAGCGTGCAGGAAACTGCATTTTTTTTAAGTAGAGTGGCATTTCTATTGCAGTTAGTGAATTCGAGATAGCAACATACTTCGCCGTAATAAGCGTATTTCAAATAAATTGTTGTGTTGGTTTTTAGTGTTAGCCTAAGGCGTTTTGGGTCAATGGTTCTTATTAAAATCATATCCCAATCTGATCCGATTTAAATATAATTTTAAAAAAATTACTTTTACACCAAACTCCGCCACACCTTTCATATTTCATTGAAATTGGTGCGTCAAATATGTGAAATCGGCCGAGAATATATATATGGGAGCTATATCCAAACCTAACTAATTTCCAATTAATTTATCACATTTATTATTATAACCAAATTCCGCCACACATTCTGAATTTCATTGGAATCGGTCATATATATCGTGTTTGGTGCATAATATGTATGAAATCGGCCGAAATATATATGTTAGCTATATTCAAACCTCAACTGATTTCAATGTAATTTGGCAATTTTTGCTGGTGCCAGATTTTGTCTCTCTCGCTTTGGGTGCATCAAATATGTGAAATCGGCTGAGTATATATATGGGAGCTATAATCACATCTGAGCGTATTTGAATATAATTTGTCAAATTTATTTTTGTATTTTGTTGGAATCGGAAATACGTATCGTGTTTTGTGCATCAAATATGTGAAATCGGCGGAAAAATATATATATGGGAGCTATATTCAAATCTGAACCGATTTTAATATAATTTGACAAATTTATTTTCTAATCAAAATCCCGTTACATATTCCAAATTTCTTTGGAATCGAACATACATATCGTGTATGGTGCATAAAATACATGAAATCGGTCGAAAATATATATGAGAGCAATATCCAAATCTGAATCGATTTTAATATAATTTGATAAATGTATATTTGTTTTAATTTCCGCTAAACATTCCAAATTTCATTGAAATTAGAGATTCATAGCGTGTTTGGTGCATCAAATACATGAAATCGGTCGAAAATATATATGGGAGCTATATCCAAATCTGAACCGATTTCAATTTAATTTGACAAATTTATTTTGGCTCCCAATTCCGTTACTTATTTTAAATTTCATTACAATTGGAAATACATGTCGTGTTTGGTCCACCAAATACATGAAATCGGCCGAAAATGTATATGGGAGCTATATCCAAATCTGAACCGATTTCAATATAATTTGGAAAATCAATTTTTTAGATAAAATCTATCACACGTTTCAAATTTCATTGAAATTGGGGATACATAGCGTGTTTGGTGCATCAAATGCTTGAAATCGGCCGAAAATATATATGGGAGCTATATCCAAATCTGAACCGATTTCAATATAATTTGGCAAACTTATTTTTGTTCCAAATTCCGTTACGTATTCCAAATTTGGAGACTGTATCTTCAACCAATCAATAGATATGTGCATATAAAATCTAAATTTTTGGGAGGTACCTCCGGTTCTGATGCTATATCTCCAGTTCCAAGTGGAAATTCAAAAATGTATGTAGCCTATGTTACTTTCAGGTGATGTTGCAGTATATATGGAAATTTTCAGGAAAATCTATTCAGCGGTTTTCGAGTCCATAAATTACAAACAAACAAACAAACAAACAAACAAACATACAAACATTTTCCTCTTTTATAGATATAGATGTCTCTGCCATGAGCTGTTACTCTATGTATTGTAGACACAAACCATTTGCTCAAAATGCATTTTGTCTAGTCTTTACCATTTTAGGTCTTTGCCAAAGGTTCCACTTTTCAATTAAATGATAATACTGGATGATTTTTTTGGAAGTTTTTATACGCTCCACCATGGTATGGAGGATATATCAAGTTTGTCATTCCGTACACCTTGAAATATACATTTTAGACCCTATATATTCTTGATCAGCATAAAATTCTATGTCGATTTAGCGATATCCGTCCGTCTATCCGTTTGCGGAAATCACTCTAGCTTCTGAACGAAATGAAGTAGATTGATACAATTGTACTCAAATGTATATTATGTCTGCAGGACTTTTGGTATTGAAAATGGACCAGGTAGGTCCATATTTTGGTATAGCCCCCATATAACGGATATTCGGTATTTTGATGATTTTAGCGATATTATTTACCGAACTTCAAATTTGGTATTTGCAGTTCGTAATGGATACTAGAGCATATGACAGGAGATTGTCTGTGCAGAACCACGTCTTCATATAGCCCCCAAACAACGGTACCTCCCGATATTCAGTATTTTGATGATTTTAACGACATTATTCATCGGAATTGTTTCAAATTTGGTATTTGAAATTCGTATTGAATACTACAGCCTATTACAGAAAATTGTCTGTGCATGTCCAGGTCTTCTTATAGCCCCCCTATAACGGTACCTTTTTTACTTGTTTAAATTTGCAAACTCTCAGTAATTCAGCTGTCGACATTTTTCTCATAATTCGCTCTATTGTTGAGTTAGCAGACAACTTCAGGAACATTTAGTAAAAAAAATTACCAAATATCGAGTGAGCAGACAGAGTTATAATCCCGAACAGAAGGACAGGCCACTAAAGGATTTAAAATTTATTTTTTTTATAAATTTGAAAACTTTAGCAAGTTTTTTTTTTGGTACGGAGTTGCTCTGTTCCAGAACCTGCATGAATGTTAAAATGTTACTACGATACAATGAAACGAAAAGCAGCCTCTTTTAACAGTTTTATTCTTCTTTATTTTATTTTAATTTCTTTTCTTACAACTAAAAATATATTTTCGTAAAAAATCATACATTTAGTTTTTGGGGGTTTTTCATTAATTTCATTAATGTGTTTTTTTCTTTTGTATCATTATTAGTCTCCTCTAAAATACAAATAGTCTGTTTAATAAAGCGCATTTGAACCACTTAAGCATAAAGGATTTGTTGTTGGTTGATTGGTATCTTTGTTGGTTTGTTGAGTTCCTATAAAATAGTATCACTTGTTCGTTGTCATGTTAAAAAATACTTAATAAAATTAATCAAAAAATAGAATATTACAAACAATTATTTACAACATGGTTAATTAAATAGACTACAAACTAAACACTTGGAAAAGTAACCGCGGAATTGCAGAACGCTACATTCTGTGCAGATGATCGTGTGTTTTCTCATAATGTTCGATTTTCTCGATGATCCGATCATTTATCATCTCCTTGACATTTACCGACCACAGGAAATCATAGTGATTCCAATCATCATAGGGTATACGATATAGGTCGGCACATGGCAGCAACGAGGCCAAATACTCGACGTCTTCGACAGCGGACATATAGTCATTGTTGCTGTAATAGAGATTGACACAACTCTTGACGTTGCTCACCTCATAGTGGGGAGGTGTTTCTTGATTGTATTTCTTGAGATTAAGATGTATGCCATGATCGAATTGTTTAAAATCTCCCGAGGTGTACAACTGCAAATAGTGTATAATTTGTGTAGTTGATGCTCCGGCTGGGTGGGTTTCACACACATGAGGCAGCAATGTCTGGAAGGAGGAAAGGGAGAATAGGTTATTAGATTTTAAATAATTCAAAAACAATTATAGAAATTATACTATATCGATTATATTGTTTACTATGGAATGAACTGCCGACAATATGTTTTTCTATAGAATACATTGTCGATAACATGATGTTTTTTAAATAACTGGTCGATAACAAGTTTTTCTGTAGAATATCTTGTCGATAACAAGTTTTCCTATGGAATAACTCATCGATAACAAGTTTTTTTATAGAATATATAGTGGATAGCATGGTGTTATAGAAAAAAGACTAGTCAATAACGAGTTTATCTATAGAATAACTTTACGATATTTTTTTCTATAGAATACATTTTCGATAACAAATATTTGTAAAGAATAACTTCTAAGTTACATGTTTTTCTATAGGATAACATGTCGATAACAAGTCCTTCTATAGAATAACTTGTCGATAACTAGTTGTTCAGTGGAGTAACTTGTTGATAACAAGTTTTTCTATAGAATAAATTGTCGATAATAAGTTTTTCTATAGAATAACTTGTCGATAACTGGTTTTTCTATAGAATAACTTGACGATAACTAGTTTTTCTATAGAATAACTTGTCGATTATAATTTTTCTATAGAATAACTTTTCGATAACAAATATTTCTATAGAATAACTTTTAGGTTACATGTTTTTCTTGGCGATAATTTCTCGATAACAAGTTTTTCTACAGAATAACTTGTCGATAACAAGTTTTTTTATTGAATAACTTATCCATAACAAGCGTTTCTATAGAATAACTTGTGGAAGACAAGCTATTTTTAAGAAAGCTATTTTTAAGACAAAATGTTCATCGAAAAAATTGTATCTTAATAATAAGTAGTCGATTACAAGAAATATGTTGCCGATAACAAGATTTTCCACACGAAAACTTGCCGATAACATGTTTTTCTATAGAATAAACTGTCTATAACAAAACATGTTGTTCTATTTTGTCTACAGAATAACTTTTCGGAGTAACCTAGATTTTTATAATACTAAAATACTTACATGATTCAAATGCCTTGTACCCCAACCACCGATAAAATTCAATATGCCAGAGCATAGAAATTTGAAATGTGAATTTGGCGAACAGATGTATTCACAAAACAATTTCTGGACACTTGTTGTGGGTAGCAGTTCAAAACCGGCCAAGACCATACTCAAGAACGATGGATAACCCAAGAAAATGCCACCAACTTTGGACAATACAAATGAATGATTGCGCATAAAGGCAATGGGCGCCAGCAGATGTACCGTTCGAACTTTCTCATTATACCATGGCATCGAAGACATCAGTACAAAGAAAGTCGTTGTACCCTGCGAATGGGCGACGAAATGTACCGAACCCACACGCGTCTCGTCGAGGACATAATCCAACATGGCTGTTAAATCGTACACACCAATTTCATGCCAACTAAAATTCCAAAAGTCCGATGAATCCGGACGTTTGTGTTTATGCTGGCGAGAATAGGTATTGCCACGGGCATTGCCCATCCATACATCATAGCCCATATCGGCGAACATATAGGCCAGTGAGGTCTCGGGTCCGTTTATAATCCAATCGTCTGAGGCACACAGTATGCCATGTTGAAGGAAGACAACGGGTTTCACGGTGGCATTGTGATAGCGCAGCTTTGGCGAGTCGGGTATGCGATACATGGTCAGAATGTAATCATCATTGGTGTGAACCGTGTGCTCTTCGACGGGATAGTTGTGGTTGGAAATTAATTTCGCCTGAAATATAAGGAATTAAAATAGATTAGAATAATAATGTAAAGGTCAATAACTTTTTAATTACAAGATAAAAATATACTATTTATGTGCCCTGATCTAGAACGTGCAAGATTCTACTAGTTTTGAATATATTTTGATATCATATAGAGAAAATCGGTCATGGCGGTAACAAATTTTCTATAAATTCTATATAAATCTATTTTAGAACTTTTTTCATTTTGTTAGTAAACAGTTTCCCAAAATAAATCAAGCAAAATAAACATTTGGTGGGGAGGTGAATTAATCCGCTCACTCAATTGCTCACAGCTGTCAGCGCGAAAATGAAACATTTGCCTGATGTCGGCTCTTACGTCAATGTCAGATCAATGTTCTCGAAGTGTGCCTAATTCATTTTTGGAAACTTTTTCCTTCTATAAATATCCAATAGCCGAGGTAAATACTACAACATAACCAAAATTGGGGCAAAGGGAATAAATTTAGTTTTCCTAAGTTTGTTAAATAAACATTAGGTTTGTACGATAACAAAATATTTTGTACAAAAAAGTTTAGTAAATGAGAGCGTGTAGAGAGAGAAAATCTTTCTGGAAAAATACTCAGCAATCCAGTTATCCAGTAACGTCAGCTGAATGAAAAACAGCTGTTTTGTGACCAATGCAAAAATATTTACAAATTTCCACGCAATAATTTAATTATTTTTCATATCCATATTTAAAAACTAATTTTGAACTACAAAATTTGTCATTTTGATATGGTTTTCTTAACCGTTTAAAAGTGCAAAGCGTACTTTTGCAAAACAGATTACCTGAGAGAGAAAATTCTCTCAGTACAGATTTATAAGTAAACCCTATTATATAAAAATACATACCTATTGTTTAACATTTTCGTTTTAATGTTAAAACAGCTGATTTTCAATCAGCTGATGTTTCTAAATAATTCCTACCGAGAATATTATCCCAATAAGTGCTCTGTTTCAGAACTGCAAGAATTTACTAATTCTGAACATCTTTTTCGATATCTTAAAACAAAAAAATCAGTTATCGTAGTAAAAACTTTTAAATTATTGCAGTTCTGGAACAGAGCAAAGATTTTTCAAACTTTCAGTAAAGATGAGAGTACATAAAAGGATTTTTTGACTGGCTTGAGTCATCGGCTGTCTTCTTCGTAGAGGAACAAAAGAGTTTTACGTTAACTAAGTTCAATTTTGGTCCTTTGTTCTTTTCCGTAGAAGCCACCCAAAAATCGTTTTATGTATTCCCACCTCACCTCATCTCAGCTCAAATTAACATCTACTAGTTTTGCATTTATTTTTGATATCATAAAAATCTATAAATAAAAAGCTTGCTTGCAGTTTTGGAACAAAGCAATTTGTAATAATATGATCAATGATAAATTTGAGCTTAACGTTTTTACTTAATTAGGTACTTCACATTCTCAGAAATTCCCCCGCAAAAATTGTTAATTCTCATCGATTTATTTCAAAATGCACCTTAAATCCCCTCCCGACTTATTTACGACATGATGTTATAGCTCTATCGTTCATCATTAATCATACCACCTTTCTTTCGGTAAATAAAAAAAGAAAACGCATCAAAATGAAATGCAAAAGATAAAAAAATAAAATCTAATCACGTTTTTCTATCAACAAACCACCATCGGCACTACACCACCGCCAACTATCGGCAATCTATTCTCTCACGATCTTTTAATGGCCCGACCCGGCAAATACACGCGACATACAACCATACCTAGCCCGCTAATTATAAACAACGACAAAAAAAATCAAAAGATAATTAAAATCTTTTATATACATCAACGTCGTCAGCACACATACATAGACAGTTTTGCAAATGCGAAAAAAACAAGAGGCAAAGTCCAATCAGTTCCTCAAAATGTTCAACCGTATATGGCACAGACTGTAAATGGCACTTTGTATAAAAAATTATTATGTATTTGAAAAACAAAAAAGTAAACAACAACAGCAGTAACAATTTATTCATAAAGTGTTGTCAAATTGCAAAAGAGTAACACCCACCTAACACCACCCATAGTTTACCATCAAACAATGATTTAATTGAATAATTTTACAGTCTCTCCCGCGCACATACTCTCTTTTTCTCACGGAGAAATCAAACCACATTTGTCATTCTCCATTTTGGAAAATAATAAAAAACATTACTTTGGCGCTCTTTTTACCTTGACCATTGTGTTCGAAAGCGGAATACCCCTTTTACCACTAAACACCCCCATGTTGTGGATGGCATGACTCTTATCATTGGCACTAACATCATAAAAATTGAGTCACACAAATAGACTTTGTGATGGTCAGGGTACGGAAATAATTATTTTTATTTAATCTATCGGTAAACTAAGTGTTGATAACTAATATGAGTTAAATGCCATATAATCGGATGGAATACATTTGAAAGTATATAATAAAATATATATGTATGTACATCTTAATCGGAATCAATTTCCACTACATTTTTATACCCTACACCACAAGGTGGTCAGGGTATTATGTCTTTGTGCATTTGTTTGTAACAGGCAAAAGGAAACGAGATAGACCCATATTTCCTTTTGATGATCTGCATAGAATCACATTCTGAGTCGATTTATGCATGTCCGTCCGTCCGTCTGTCCGTCCGTCCGTCTGTCCGTCCGTCCGTCCGTCCGTCCGTCTGTCCATGTATTTTTGTAAACAAAGTACAGGTCGCATTTATTGCCCGATCCAGATGAAATTTTGCACAGATCATTTGTTTGGCCCAAGGACGAACCCTATTGAAATTGGAGATAATCGGTCAAAATTTAGATATAGCTCCCACATATATCTTCGTCCGATTTGCCTTCTATTGTGCATCAAACGTGTAATATCAGTCCGAATTGTATGGAATTTTGCATATACAACCAAATTAGGCCTGAAAATAAGTATGCCAAATTTGATCGAAATCGGTTCAGATATAGCTATAGCTCCCATATATATTGTTCATCCGATTTGTTATTTTAGTCCTCCGCTGCCGTAATATGCACTCTGCAACAACAATATTTGGGGAAATATATCAAAAACATCTCAGAAATACATTTGCTAAATTTTATCGAGATCGGTTCAGATTTGGATATAGCTCCCATATATAACTTCGTCCGATTTACCTTTTATGGTACACCAAACGTCTAATATTTGTCCAAATGGGATGGAATTTGGCACATGTGACCGAATTGAGTCTAGAAGCTAGTATGCCAAATTTGGTGAAGATCGGTTCAGATATAGCTATATCTCCCATACATATTGTTCATCCGATTTCTTGTATTTGTTACCCACAGCCGTAATATGCACTCCGTAACAACGATATTCAGGGAAATATATTAAATACAGCTCAGAAATATCTTTTCCAAATTTTATCGCGATCGGTTCAGATTTGTATATAGCTCCCATATATATTTTTATCCGATTTCAAATTAATTGTGCACCAAATGGGAAACACAAGTCCGAATTTAAAAGATACAAATGCTTCGGCATATTTAGTCCTTTGAACTTTAAATTATAATTATGATCATAGCTTGTATGATTGAATTCTCCCATAAAAACTTTTAATTGTTATGCGGAGCTCTACTAAATTAGCAAAGTGGTGTAGGGTATCATAAAGTCGGCCCCGTCCGACTTTAAGACTTTCTTTACTGGTTTAGAGGTATATTTGGGATCTCTCGTACCAAATATCACAAGTTTTAGACGAGATTTGTTACAAATTTCATTCTAAGAATGATTGGTGCAACAAATAGGAAGGAATTATGTATGGGACCTGTATCTTAATCTGGACCGAGAGGTATCGACAAAGTTTGACAGGGGTATTTATAGGCTGCATGTGCTTTTTTGTACCAAATATTATAGGACACTCATTATGGCTTTAGGAATGTCATAATATTAAATCGGATGAAACATATCTATGTAAGCACTTTTACTACAATAAATGATTTTTTATGATTTTGAAAAAACTTTATAGAACTAGTAGATTCTTACAGGTACTGGACAGACCATAAAGGTGGGAATACATAAAGCCGGTATCTGGCTGGCTTCTTCGGAAATGAAATGATCAAAGGAGCCTAGTGTCAAAATCGAACTACGTCAACCTAAAACTCCTTTTTTTATATACGAAGAAGCCAGCTAAATATGCGCTTTATGTATTTCCACCCTAAGTCTTTAGAATTATTCACCAAATCTTAAGGTGGAAGCACATAAAGTGCTTTTTTTTGACTTGCAAAAGTTTCCGGCTGACTTCTTCATAAAATAACAAAGGAGCCTAGAGCCAAAATCGAACTAAGCCAACCTAAAACTCTTTTGTTCCTCTACGAATGCCAGTCAATCGCATGTTGTTATGATATGTATTTATTGAACAATTTTTACAAATTTGAATAATTTGTCATTCAAAAATTTCCATTCCAAAATGAACTGTCATTGTCCCAGCAGCTGTGTTGATGCGATTACCTGTATTCTTCTACCATGCCAAGTTATTTATGTATCCTCACCTTTACACATTTACTTAGAGCACGTTTAGACTACTAAATCTAGTCGATTTCAAATGTCAATTCCATAGCGTCTACCATGGTAGAAAAATATAAGTAGACGCGTCGCCACAGCTGCTGGGACAATGAACTGTCAAACTAATCTTAGAATTGAAAATGTTGAATGAAAAATTATTTAAATTTGTAAAAAATTTTGAAAAACGCGAATTATATTAGCCTCCGAATGACGTAGTATAAAAAAACTTATAAAAATCTACTTATATTTGAAAAAACATTTACATTTTTGACATATCAATGCTCCCAAGCGTTGATTCATCTACCTGTATTCTTCTGCAATGGCGTCTACGTTACGTAAATCATATTCATAAATCCAGAGGACATTATTTGACGTCGACACAGCTGCTGAATGAAAAATTATTCAAATTCGTTAAAAAGGTTAAAAAATGCATGTCATAAGAACCTCCAAATGGCGTCGAATAAGAAAA